AACGCTGCTTCGCGAGAAACGAACTCCCCAAAATCCTGAACCGATGGGCCTAACCTATCTATAGACTACACTAGACCTAGACCGGACTGACTGACGGACCGGTACCGTTGCTATTTCGGCCTCGCGGCCTCTACTGGACCCGGCTATAGGCTATAGGACCATCTATCAGCATACGCCACTTAGGGCCGGTCTGTCCTAGGGGTGGCCCGGGCCTGCTACACGCAGTTAGGGTAGCTGTAGGAATTCGGGTTAGTACTGGGCCTATATTTTCCCAGATTTACAGATATGTCCCTCACAAATTTCTTTACAGGTAGGTCTCTCGGTTAGCCCTCAGCCCAACAAAAATTACGAATCTAACCTACTGCTGTACTATACAGCGTCGCAGTCAGTCTCGGCAGTAGAAATCAGCAAGTCATTGAAGGCTTACCCTCCCCGGGAGCGAGGACCTCCGAGCTAGGGATGTAGGCGAGGTGAACGGCGAGGAATGTTTCCCTTCTGAGCCGCTTCATATCGCAAGACAACTGACTTTGCTGTCTTGAGAAGTTCCCTTCTGTAGAACCATCTGTTCTCAGAAGGAGGCTGGAATGCGAACCTCACAAGATACTGTCGGTTGGGGCCTATGCCCCACTCATCCTCAATCCACGTCATATCCCTTGCTAGGGATCGGTGGACCAAACTGAGGGGGCCGGTCTGGGAATGCATCAGCTGGGGTGAAAGGCAGCAGCTTAGATGCATGGAAGACCGGGTAGGTACGTAGATGCAGCGGGATGTCGATGACATACGACGGACCGAAGGAATCAACACCCACTGTATCTAGGACCTGCCATGGACCCAGGTAACGTGGCAACAACCTAGGGGAGATATCCTCCTCCCTCGACAACTCGGAACTGGCCACCCAGACATAATCACCAGTGCGGATGGGGGAAGGCCGCCTATGGCGGTTAGCTTGTTCAATCATAGCCTTTTGGGCTTTGAACAAGTTCGCCCGCGCTCTTTCCACATCCAAACGATAGCGTCTGGTGAACTCTGCAGTGTTTGGTGTTAGATCAGGCTTAGCCTTGTCGATGATGTCATCGAGAGGCTGACGTGGCTCACGTCCCCAGTGCAACCGGTAGGGACTGAACCCTGCCGAGGAATGGACAGGCATGTTATACATGAGTTGTGCCCGGGCCAAGTGAAGATCCCAGTCCTGCTGATCTGGAGAGATGACAAGACGCAGCAATTGGAATAGGACTTTGTTCATCACTTCAGCCTGACCATTGGCTTCAGGATGATGACTAGAAGTCATGTCCAATCGTGAGTGCAGGTAGTCCTTACAATAGGACTGCCACTCATCGGTGCAAAATCTGGGGTCTCTATCACTGATTATAGAAGTGGGCGGTCCATGGTGAGTGACCCACCTCTCAGAAAAGGTTGCTCTCACAGCTGGGACCCTAGCTACTTCTGGCAAGGGGATGAACTCTGCGTATTTGGAGAACCTGTCCACGCAGACCATAACATGATGCATGCCACGAGGGGTGGTCTTGCCTAAATCTGTGAAGTCTATCGCCACAGATTCAGCGGGGCCATCACGTATGGGTAGAGGTTTGAGCAGTCCCAAAGGAGGTCCACGTTGGACCTTATTCCTTTGGCAGATCTCACAGGTGTCCACATAGCGCAACATATCACTCCGCATCTCCTTCCAGAAGAAGCGCTGCGACAGGGCTGCATAGGACTTTAGGAACCCAAAATGTCCACGAGCATCATGACACTCTGACATCAGCAGTGTCCTGAGCCGCAGGTCCTGGGGAATGCACAAGCGCTCCTCACCTCTACTGTAGGTATACAGCAGGTCTGAACTCAAAGCATAGCCTGGTTCAGAGTTAGGATCTGCTTGCAGATTCCTGACAATGGGTCCGAAAGTCTCATCCTGAGGCAGTAGACGAGCAATGGTCTGACGGGTCTCCTCTCCAAAGGAGTGCGTAGAGGAGATCAGAGCAAAAGAGTCAGGCCTACAAGAGAGGGCATCTGCTATCTTGTGGTAGCAGCCCTTCTTATGCTTCAGTTCAAAGTCAAACATGTCAATGAACTGAATATATTGTGCCAACTTATCATTCAACTCTCCTTGGGACTTCATCCACTGCAGGGTGGAGTGATATGAGAAGATCTTGAAGTGTCTTCCCAGGAGAAAGTGCTTCCAATGTTTCAGGGCACAGACAAGAGCATATAGCTCTTTCTCGTAGGTGGAGTCCTGGAGCTTTTGAGTCTTGATCTTCTTACTCATAAACTCGACAGGCCGTAGACCATTCCCATCATCCTGCTGAAGAACTTCCCCAATGCCATACTGACTGGCGTCAGTGGTCAGGATGAATGGCAAAGTGGGGTCAGGTAACTTCAGCACAGGCGCACGAGTCAAGGCCTCCTTGAGTCGTGTGAAGGCCAACTGGCAGTGGAGGGACCAAAGAAAAGGAGTGTCTTTCTTTGTTAGGTTGGTCAGGGGTGCAGCCACTACAGAAAAGTTCCTGACAAACTTTTTGTAGTATGAGGCTAGACCCATGAAGGACCTGACATCCCTCACTATCTGTGGCTGAGGCCACTACTGAATAGCAACAATCTTGGCTGCTTCAGGAGCCAGGCCATCTCCAGAGATTACATGACCCAGGTAGATGACAGAGGGAACTGCAAAGGACTTCTCTCTGTTGATCTTTTACTGGCTGTCACGAAACGACTGAAGAACCAAAGCCAAGTGCTCCGCATGTTCCCTAGCAGTTTTGCTGATAACCAGGATATCATCCAGGTAGACAACCATAAACTTGTCCAGGTAAGGCCTGAAGATGCGGTGCATCTCTGTCTGGAAGGTCCCAGGGGCATTGCAAAGTCCAAATGGCATGACCAGGAACTCGTAAGTTCCATACCTGGTCTTGAAGGCTGTCTTGTAGACATCCTCCTCTGCCATCTCAATCTGGTGGTAGTCAGATTTGAGGTCGACTTTGCTGAATATTGTGCAGCCCTGCACCATATCCAGAAGGTCATCGATCCTAGTGATCTTGTTGAGACCGCTGTAGTCAATGCACATTCTGAACTCGCCATTCCCTTTGGGCACAAAGAGAACAGGTGCACCGAATTCAGATGTGCTGGGTCTGATCCAGCCCTTGCTGGTCAGGGTCTCAAGCTGCTTTCTGAGCTCCTCTAGCTCAGCAGGGGACATCCTGTAGATGCGGCCCTTGGGAGGGACCGCTCCAGGCAGCAGCTCGATGTGATGCTTGGTTGGCCGGTTGGGTAACCCAAAGGGCTCCTGCATCAGATCAGCATACTGATCTAGCACCTGCTGTATCTCAGGAGGACAAGAAACAGGGAGAGCATCTGTTTGCTTGACCAAAGCAATAAATAGACGCTCGTGGTGGTACTGGCGTGAGAGAGCATGAAACTCCCTTGCTCTCAGGCAGTAGCAAGATGTCTTAGGGTGGTGATCAGCAGCAATCATGCATGGCTGATAGACACCCTGGCTATTAGGTAGCTCAACCTTTGGGATCTGCCAGTCGATCCTTGGGTTGACTACCTTCAGCCACTGCATAGAGAATACCAAGTCAAAGGGCAGCTCAGGGAAGATGTAGAAGTTCAGACTATGCCTGACTTCTCCAGCACCGTCGAAGGTCACAGGGATACCCTTGACCTTCTCCCTAATGCTCAGCACTGTAGAGTCACCAATCCTCACCGGCAGCGGTTGCTGCAGCTGCTGAACTTTCATGCCCAGATGCAACTTTTTAACTGCACTGGGAGACATGAAGTTCCTGATGGCTCCACAGTTTAAAAGCTAGTGATCCGGGTGCGATTGATCAGTGGCCGAAGCATGATGAGATCAGACTTGCACTTCTTTTGTTCCTTCAAATGAAGGAAGAAGGCTGCAAGTGACTGGAGCTCATCCTACCCCGGGTCCTGATCCGGGTCAGGATCCTCATAACAAAAGGATGCTGCCCGCGCAGTCCCCAAACAATCACCATCGCATACAGTCTCAACTGAAACAACTGCAGATTCACCTACCTGAGTAGAAGAAGGTGCAACATTGGGGGGAACTGCAGTCCCCAGGGTCTGTTTCAGTTTTTTGACTGACCTGGGCCCGGCATGTAAGGGCAGTCCTTCAGGAAGTGTTGTCCCTCACATCTCAGGCAGACCCCCCTTTCCTTGCGTCTTCTCCAGACTCCCTCCTAGATCTTGAGGTCATGCCAGGGGAGTGTGGAGGAATTGAGAGGGTCAACTGGCATTCGGACATCTTTGTGCAGGTTAGGGCGCTGGGAAGAGGAAGGCCGACGTCCCTTTTCCTTCCCCTTGGCACCGGCTGAGGCTGTGGTGGGGAAAAATTTCTTATGCTGCTGTAGAACTCCCAAAACAGCCTGAGTCAGGGCTGCTGCAATATCCGGATCAGGAGCAGATCCAGTCCCAGCTGAAGGTGCATCAGCCTGGGAATCTGTATCTGAACCTGATGCAGACCCCGCGTGAGTGAAGGCTGCCTTTCCCTTTCTGCCACCTCTAGGGAAGGCACCTTTCCTCCTGTCAGAGGATTGGGCCTGGACATGAAGCTTTGCCTCTATGTCCAGGGCTGCACGGCCAAAGGACCTTCAATCCTTGTGCCCAACGCTGTATAGTGCAACAACAAACTTCTTTGGCGCTGCCCTGCAGAAGTTGGTCAGCAGATCATCTGTGGACATGACCAACCCAGGGGTGGAGGTAAGTTGCTCGAACTTAGCAAACAAGGCCTGCAGGGTGCCGCTGTACTGTTGCTGTCCCAGGCGAGCAATCTTGTCAGCAGCCTTGCGGGCCCGCTCCTTGTCTGCAAATCGGTCCTCCAGGGCCTGCAGAAGTTTGTCCACCCCAAGCCCAAAAGCCAAGTCCTCCATGGACTGCTGCAGACTGCTGGAGGTGGAGGTGGCCCACTTCAATGCAGGTCCCTCCAGCAGTCCCAGGACAGTCGCCACCTTGGTCTGTTTTGCACAGACAAAGCCCCTCAAGTAGGCTTTGGTCCCAGCAGCCCAGTCCCCAACATCGGTCTTGGGGTCATCACCCCTGAACTTGTTGGGAGCAGGGATCTTGGGACCTCTGTAATCTCCTGCAGTAACAGCAGCATAGGTGGCCTTTGCTGAGGCTTTTTGGGAATGGGATGGTGTGCGGGAAGAATGCACAGATCCAGGTGTAGAAGGAGGTGAAGGTTTGGGTTTCAGCAGAGGGAGCTGAGGGGCGATCAGCTTGGCGGCTGACAACTGAGCAGTCAAGTTCTGAATTGCATCCAGAATCTTAGACTGCTGATCTGCCAGGTCATTAACCCGACGCTCCAAACGAACAAAGCGATCATCCCAGTTCGTAAAATAGGAACTGGTGATCTTGTGCCCCAGGATGATCGTCTCTGCCAGGTGTTTAGTCACCTGTGCACAGCGATCATCTGTGAGCACCTTGTCTAGCTGCTGCAACAGATAGTCCCTTCTGGAATTATCTATTGCAGCTTCTAGCTCAGCTGCTTCCTGTCTTTCCAGTTCTGCAAGGCGTTCCTGTTGACGCCGCAGTTGTTCTTCCAACTCCTTCTTCTCCTGCTGAGTAGCGGTCGGAGGTGGAGGAGGAGGAGTGGAGGTTGAAGGTTGTTGACCTTCCACCTTCATCACCACTTCCACCTGTGGCTGCTGCTGAGCTCCCTGATCCGACATTTTTCCTTTTTCAAAATAAAATCAAAATAAAAACAGACAGCAGACAGAGTATGCAGCGATACTCAGATTCCTTCAGACACCCTGGAATCGCTGCAATATCTCAACACTGGAATAGGTGGGTGTATAGGCAGTCAGCGGTTTCGGTTGGAAGGGTGTCTCTGGGGTCAGGTGTCAGACAGACTGTAGATCCAACAAAATCATACACACGATTTCCTTTTACTGACCCTGCACCACACTGGAGTTAGTAGAATCACTCCACTACTCTTCCAGAGACACACTAGATTTCCAGGGCCCACTAGAAAGCAAGTGTATTCAGTGAGAATGATGAAACACGGTTAGTACAGACGATCACCCTATATCCTGACTCAAACTCTAATCTAGACCCTGATGACTCTGGCGGCCATACCCTAGGGTATGGCAAAGTACAGTATTCACTGTATCCAGTGAATTACTGTAAATCCAACTCTGCGATTCTGCAGTATTGCCTATTTTCAATTTGCGACTCACTGGGGACTGACAGATTTGAATTTTGATGGACATAACTGAAGTTATGACTGACCCTAGTTAGCCCAGGCTATAAATAGACTCAGCGCAAAACTGCAATTCACAGTATCACTACCTTTCCAGTACATGATTCACAATTTGAGTATCCCAGAATAATCGCAATGCAGTGAAGCAGTCACAGAACAATTTTGGATCAGAAAGAGTCAACAGAGGGTTAGAAATGAGCAGAGAGAGGTAGGGGAGAGATGGCTATGGCTGTCATGCAGTCTACGATTTTCACATCCAGTCACTGACAGACAAATAGACCATTATAATTGACTAAACTAATACTATCTGGATCGCAATATAGGTAGGTGCATGGAACGGACTCACTTGCAGAGAAAATCTTGCAGGCGGTGGTGAAGATCTGGCTACGGCAGACAATACCCTTATCTCGCCAATTCCTTCCAGATATTCCTCCTGATAGTCCCACGCACAGAACCGCTCCAAACTTGTTGATCCTCCTCAGGATCCTGTAGCGCCGCACTCCCTTAATCCAGATACCCTGTATCTGGTCCTGTGGCGCCCAGTATGCCAACACCAAAATATCTCGCCACAGTGCCTGGTAGCCATGCCTGGTAGCCACTTATGCTAAAAATAGCCCCAGATGGGGTTATTTCTCCTGGAGATTGCTACAGTGTCTCAGTCTCCCTCAGCGCAACCCAGGGATGATGCCGCTCAAGGATCTCTGATGTCCTCAGGGGTAATTCGCCACTCAGGGGTAATTCGCAACACTACCCTCAGGGTTGGCTATGGCGAATTAGCCTTGTACTCCCACTTCCTGACAAGCGCCCTGACAGGCTCAGTGCGCTTGCTCAGTGCAAACATTGAACACCTGAATCCACCGCTGAAAGTCTTCTTCCCTACTGACTCAGTACTGGGGAATACGAATCGCCATGAAACTCTCGCCAGTATATCGCCAGATGAAGAAGATGCCTCAGTGTGCTCAACCCTCAGTGTTCCAAATCCAATCCCGCTCCGATACCAACTGTTATGAACTTGGTTGTCTGACGATTTTTACCGCCACTCACACACAGACAATCTCATACACGCCCATACATGCATAAGAGAAGGGGGAGAGGAGACGGAGTCCACACTGCACACAGATCAGAGTAGGCAGCGGAAAACAGCTATGCACACATGGGGAGAAGACACACATTGTTTCTCTCTCTCTGACAAACTCCCAACAACCAATCACAAGTAGAACCTGCGAGGATAACAATTGAAATTGTACTGATGATGAGCCAACTCAAACAATTATCGTAACAGAGTTTGTTCCAGTATCTCGCCACTCTCAGAACTCACACCCCACTCTCTATCCTACACCCAGTTAGTAGCGCCACATTAGAATGGCCTCCCAGAGGCCAGCGCCAACCACCCTGATGGAGAACAGGCCCTGCGATGAAGTCTTCAGCGCCGATGGACAACTCTGACGAAGGAACAGGCAGCTATGGCTGCCACCATCCACGAGTACACAGTGTAGAGCCTCGATATAGCCCGGCCATACGCAGATACCCCAGGGGTAGATGCGTTGAGGATGCCCCAGCTATGGCAGGCTCAGACTGGGCCGGCTATGGCTGCTGTCAACGGCGAGGTCTCAGGATGCCGCCTGCAGACAGTCACCGCCACCAACTTGCTTGGCTTCTCCAACGCTGCTTCGCGAGAAACGAACTCCCCAAAATCCTGAACCGATGGGCCTAACCTATCTATAGACTACACTAGACCTAGACCGGACTGACTGACNAACGCTGCTTCGCGAGAAACGAACTCCCCAAAATCCTGAACCGATGGGCCTAACCTATCTATAGACTACACTAGACCTAGACCGGACTGACTGACTGACCGGTACCGTTGCTGTTTCGGCCTCGCGGCCTCTACCGGACCCGGCTATAGGCTATAGGATCGTTTATCAGCATAGGCCACTCAAGGCCGGTCTGTCCTAGGGGTAGCCCGGGCCTGCTACACGCAGTTAGGGTAGCTGTAGGAATTCGGGTTAGTACTGGGCCTATATTTTCCCAGATTTACAGATATGTCCCTCACGAATTTCCTTGCAGGTAGGTCTCTTGGTTAGCCCTCAGCCAAACAAAAATTACGAATCTAACCTACTGTTGTACTATACAGCCTCGCTGTCAGTCTCGAAATCAACAAGTCATTGCATAGGTCTAGGCGGGTACCAGTCCAACCAGTCTGAGTATAGGGCCTGTCCGGGCAATATCAGAGTCTGCAATGATGTTTCCCTCCGAAAGGGAGGAGGTTTCGGTTGCTTGGAGGCCGTACGGCCTAGCAAGTCACTCGCCAAGAGGCAAGCAGGCCGCTATATCTCCAGGACGAGCCAGTTGCTCCTCATTGTCGGTGTGCAAGTTTGGCGACACATCGGTTGGAGCGCTGGCTGGAGAAGCGCTAGCATCAGCTGCGCAGCTGGGACAGGAGCAGGGACACGGAGGAGAAAGAAGACCATGACTGGGACAGGGAGCGCCGAAGGTACTTACCTGGCTATGGTGGGTTGCCATCTTCATCACCTTGGTGGGCGCTGCAGCAAAAGGCCTAGTTGGGGCAGAGCTACACCAAGAAGCTTCGAGGCAGAGTCAGGCATGGCGACCTGAGCTAGAGCAGCCATAACTGCTTTGTGTTGTCCTTTGGACAGCAGGGCGATGCCCTTATAGTCTGCCATAGCCTCGGCCTATGAGGAAGAGCGAGAGAGGGGCGTCCATGGCTATGGTGGACCTCAAGTAATACCTGCAGTAGAAGAGGGACTCAGACATTGATTCTAGATCAGCCATTCAACGTTGTTATTATTATTCTTGTTTGAATAAGAGGAGAGAAAATAAGGAGGAGAGTGGTTGGCGAAGAAGAAGAGCATTATCATTGGTCTATGCTGGTGTAGATCATCTTCTTCTTCCTTTTTTCTCCTTGTTTTTCGTCTTACCCTCCTCTCTCTCCTCTCAAGTTCATTCATTTCTTTTTGCAATTGGACGACATTGTACTTTTTGATGGATGTGTACTTCAAAATAAGCCAGGATCGTAACATTGGTATCAGAGCGGATTCTACTTGCTGGTGAGAGTTCACTTATGCACCCTAACACTAACCTAAGTGGTTAGGGCTGACCAGTTAGGGTTAGGTTTGGTGTGCAAAGTTCAAATATGTGAACCCCTATTTATTTTATTGGGGGTAAGGGTTAAAATTTGAGCACCTATTCAAATGTTGAATATTCGTGGACACGTGAACCTTCTTTAAAACAGAAGGGGCTTTGAAGAATAGTGGAGGGGGAAGTTGAAGGATCAAACAGCACCGTCCTGTTGTTCACATGACGTGACGTCCACCTATTGATACTATGCAAAGGAAAAAATCTGAAACAAACAGGTCAGGCAAGCAATAATTGACGTTGTCCCTGCCCCTACAAGGGTTGTCCCCAACGGTCCTGAAAATAGGGTCCCAACCACCTTTCCTCATGAGACACCCGTGCAGTGAACTCCGTCTAGCAGATACTCATCAGACGTCAAGCACAAGTAGTCTCAGACCTGCACAAAGTCTCCAGTTCACCTGAAGTGATATCTGAAACAGTAACTCATTACCATTAGACGAAGAGAGTGGAGGGGTAATAGACAGAGGAGACGGTGGAAGAGATGATCAATGATCACACAAGAGTAATCCAAGCAATCCCCTCTTCTTCTCCGGGCTTCTTCCCTCTCCACGTTATCAACCAGTATACGATAACAAGTATGATAATCCTGATCACACAGCAGTGCCACGTGGCACTCTTATCTCGTGAAGACCATGAAGACAACAGCACAATACAGGCACGACGTCAACCTCAGGTGAGTATCCGATCCCAATCATCCACAGATCCCGATCTCCCTCCTTGTCGCAACCAATCACCTCATGTAGACAGCGTGGCCAATGCCACGTCAGATGTAGAGACAGGAGGCATGCGCCACATCATCAATGAAGACAGGTGGCAACGCCACATCAGCAATGTAGGTAAGTGGCATGCTCCACATCAGCAATGCAGACAAGTGGCATGCGCCACATCAGCAATGTAGACCAGCGGCATGCGCCACATCAGCAATGTAGACAAGTGGCATGCGCCACATCAGCAATGTAGATCACTGGCATGCGCCGCACCAGTAATGTAGATAGGTGGCAGCGCCACATTAGCAATGCCTGGCGCACAAAACAGATAGTGCGAGCATGCTGCCACAACCCCGCGTCGTCGTCCATAGTGCTTGCGCACAACCAGCATTAAGCCAGCGTTAATGCCAGCGTCCAGTCACAATCGAGCCAGCGTCCAAGCAGCATAGCAAGACTGAATGTCGACCTCCTGGAGACCAGTCCTTTTGTAGCATTTGACAAGGTTGTCTAGTCTCGGGTCCCTCTCCCACAGTCGTGCAGATTGACTCTCAGTCGAGCGCCTAGATTGTGTACAATTGGAGACTTCCCCTTGGACCTGATGTTGTCTGGGTACCTGCATACAAACAAGTGTGTGTGTCTGACCGGCGGTTTGGGTTGGGTACACTTTGACTTTGACTGTTTGGGTCTCCGACAGTTAATTTTAGTCAATTGTATCTCGTCCAGGCCCTGAATCTTTACGTGGGGTTTATTTTCGCCTTCGGCCTGGGTCTGAGTGCGGCCCAGAGGCCCTCAGACTTTCCACGAGGCATACAACATGGGTTATTGCATTCCTGCCAGCCCAATTTTCGAGTTCCATCGCATAAATACATCAATTCTCCCTTATCCCACATTCGTATGCAACAACAATGTCAGGAGCAGTCGGTAGGAGTTCTTTCTTACTAAACCATCTGGCTTCAGATGGAGGTTGGGACTTGAACTGTACCTTATACTACTTTTGAGGTCTTCCTCTGCCACCTGTAGAGAAATGGCCATGTTCCAGTACCTTTTCAACTTCATAACCTCCGTTCATAGAAGGTGGAAACATAGATGGGCTTTTCGGAAAATTATCTCCTTCTACATAGGGTAGCAACTTAGACGCATGGAAGACAGGATATGTCCTTAGGTGTGGAGGTACATCTATGAGGTAGGAAGGTCGATCCGCATCTCCAGTCACCTTGAGAACTTCCCAAGGGCCATAGTAGACAGGTAGCAGTTTTTGAGACACATTTTTTTCTAAGGAAGATTCTTTAGATTTAACCCAAACAAGGTCTCCTTCTTGAAACTGTGAAGGTCAGCGATGTTTATTAGCCTGTTCAATCATTTGTAGCTGGGCTTTCTGTATGTTTTCCTTAACCTTTTTAGTGTCTTCTTCATATAAAACTGCAAATTCACGCGTACCTGGGGGTAACCTCTGAATCTGGTACCTTGTTAACGCATCAATGGGACGCTTAGGCTTCCATCCTTTATGCAGTGCATTAGGCGTTCTACCTATAACAGTATGTTATTGTAGGCACTATTAATCTTAGGCAAGTTCTCATCCCAATCTACCTGATAAGGTCGGACATACATTCGCATCAGTTGTTGGCAAAGACGGTTCATTTGCTCAGTTTGGCCATTCGTTTCAGGATGTCTGCCTGACGACATGGTCAACCTGGTCCCATAGACTTCCATCAACTTCTGCCATTGTAGACTAGTGAACCGAACATCTCTATTAGAGACGATGGTTTTCAGGAATCCATACTCAGAAACCCATCGCATCTGAAACTTCTGGATAACTAGTTCGGTTCTAGCTTCGGCAGGCAAAGGAATGGACATAGCAACGATGACCATTACTTGACTATTGTCATTTCGACTTTTAGTGAGACTCATAAAGTCAATGGAAATAGACTCACTTGACTCACTTGGAATAGGCAGCGGTCTCAGAAGTCCCATCGGATTCTCATGTGAGGGTTTGTTCCTTCGACAGACAAGATAAGTCCGCACATAGGTTAGTACATCTTCCTTCATTCCGTTCCATTCAAAACGTTCGCGCAAATCAGCATATGTCTTCTTTAAAACCAAAGTGACCTTCCGCATCATGGCATTCCCCAATTATTAAGCTTTTGGTTGGTTCTTGGTGAGGAACACACAATCTTTCTTCGTTTTTATCCAAAAAGAAGAGTAAGCCATCAGTCATTCGATATTCTGGGAATAACTCAGGGTTCTTATGTAGAGTCTCAATGATAGGACTCCAAATAGGATCACTCCCATAACCCTTCTGGATTTGTTCTTTCAGTTCGTTCCCGATATCGAGGTAGGAGACAATAGTTCTCAAGAAGTCTGCACATCTGGACAAAGCATCCACAACCACGTTAGACTTACCTTTGATTGTTTTCAACTCAAAGTCAAAGGTATAAATGAAAGCGGACCATCTTACCAGTTTGTCAGAGAGTCTAGGTTGAGTCTTGATCCACTTCAAAGTAGAGTGATTAGACAGAAAAGTGTCTCCCCAACAAGTAGTGTTTCGAGGTGTCCAGTACAACAACTAAGGCATACAATTCCCTTTCGTAGGTGGAGTTAGCCACTTTCTCTGACGGTAGTCTCCTGGACATAAACTCAATAGGTTTATATCCCTTACCATTATCCTGTTGTAGCACAACCCCAATTCCATACTGACTTGCGTCAGTCGTGACGATGAAAGAGAGAGAAGCGTCAACAATTTTTAAGACAGGGTAGTGAGTCAATAGATATTTCAACTTTCGAAATGACGACTCACAATCCTTGTCCCATAACCAAGGTTTTTCTTTCTTCGGTAATCTTCTCATAGGTGCAGCTATCAAAAAGAAGTTTCTGACGAACTTCATATAGTAGCTAGCAAGTCCTAGAAAAGATCGCAATTCAGTTATAGTCTTAGGTTGGGGCCAATCTCGAATTGTTGTAATCTTCTTTTCGTCTGGGCTTAGTCCTTCCTCGTTCACTATGTGCCCTAAGTAAAGTACCTCGGGCTTAGTGAATTCATACTTTTTGGGGTTCAATTTGAAGTTGCCCTCAGGCTTAGCGAATTCAGACTTGTTGGGGTTCAATTTGAAGTTGCCCTCGCCCAACTTATGCAAAACCATTCGTAGATGTTTCTCGTGATCTTCTAGTGTCTTACTGTACACTGGAATATCGTCGAGATAGACTACTATGAATTGAAAAAGCCATTGTCGAAACAACTCGTTCATTGACCTTTGGAAGGTCGCAGGTGCATTAGTCAGACCGAAAGGCATAACCACAAACTCGTAGTGACCATACCTGGTTCGGAAAGTCTTCTTGTGTTGATCCTCGGGAGCCACCTCGATCTGGTGGTACCTTGGCTTGAGATCAATCTTACTAAAGTACCTGCATCCCTGCAATTGGTCCAACAAGTTGTCAATGTGCAGAAGCGGTTCCGCGTTTTTCATAGTGACGGAGTTCAACCCTCGATAACCAATACATAATCGGAGTTCACCTTCCTTTTTGGGCACGAATAAAACAGGGGCACGATAAGGAGATGAGCTAGAACGAATCCATCCCTTGTCAGTAAATTCTTGCAACTGTTTTCAAAGTTCTCAAGTTCCCTGGGAGACATTTGGTAGATGGGACCCTTGAGAATCTTGCTTCCGGGAATAATCTCAATTGTGTGCTTGATAGCACGCTCAGTAATTCCTGTCG